GATCATTGTTTTGGGCGTGTAATGGGAATTTGGGAGATTTTAATAGATTTATAAATTCATATATTTTTATAGAGTTTAATTGATTTGTAGAGATTTCATTTAAAATTATAATTCAATTCCCCCAAAAATTCTTGGAGGGATGAGATTTGTGGATACTTAAAATACACTGCAAAATCCCTCAAATTCCCTCAAATTCCTTAAAACTTTTTCAAACCCTTTAAAATCAAACTCTAATTGAATACACCCAAATTTTTAAATATTTTAATATTCAATCTTAAAATCTTAATTGAATACACATTGAATTTCAGATAATCCCTAAAATTTCTAAATAAATACCCTTAAAAGAATTAAAATCTCTCAAAATCTCAATTGAATACATAAGACTCATGTTTTCTAATGAATTTTGAGAATTTACTAGATTCATAACCTAAAATTTGAGTTATTCTAGATGCACCACACGTTTAATAAATTTAATTTAGGACATTCTCAAGATTTTGACAGATACAAAGCTTTTTTAGAGACCCACTACTAGTTTATATTACTTTTTCTATTTTTCAATTTTAAAAATCAATAAAAAATAGTTTTGAGTCCTAATAAACGTTAGGATCACATCCAAAGGTCTTGCAATATTTCCATTAACTCCCAAGAAAAATATTTCCCTAAAGTCCCGCTCGTGGGTGCAAAAACGAGGCAAGCTCTGTTCACAAAAAAGAGGACGAGTTTCTGGCATACAAAACTAGGTGGACTCTGCGCACGCAGAATGAGGCGAACCAAGGCACATGGAAACGAAGAGGGCTTTGTGCATAGAAAACGAGCCAGGCTCTGTACACACAAAACGAGTTAGACTATGCTTATATAAAACGAGACGAGCTTGTGGCACGCAAAACGAGCCGGGGTCGTTGCATGAACTTCCCGTACACAGAACAAGGTGAACCCAGGTGCACGAAAAACGAGGAGTATTTTGCTCGCGGAGACGAGGTAGGCTCTGTGCACGTAATATGAGGCGGGCTCAACACACCAAAAAATGTGGCATACAAAACGAGGCGGTGCAATGCACAAAAAACGAGATCGCCCATATGCACGAAAAATGAGACAAGTCGACCCATACAAAACGTTGCGGGCTCAAGCGCATGGGTCAACCGGTGTTGCTCGCTCGAAGCATTGGTACCAGGATGGAGCCTTTATAAGCTACTATCAATATGAGGTACGATTTAGTTTAATCTCAAAGGTCAACCTTTGTTGCCCGTACAAACAATTGTGTTGGGGGTAAGGTTTAGTTTTAATATCATATGTCAGGTATGATTGTAATGCGAACCATAGGTGTCGAGGGTAGGGTATATATAGGGGTTAGGTTTGGTTTTATTCCCACGGGTCAACCGTTGTTACCCGCACGATCATTGGTGTTGGGGTGGTCATTTATAGGACTCTTATTAAGGTTTTGTTTCAATCTCAAGGGTCGACCATGGTTTAAGGTGGGGTATTTATAAGCCATTATCAACCATGATAAAATTGCAACTTTTAACATAGTAACCCCTTCTTAAAAAATTAAAATTAAAAAAAAAACATTTCTTTACCGCGGTATGGTGAGGGGAAAAAATTCAAAGGCGTTGGGCTCTAAAACTCGATGAACTCAAAATGTTATTTTTACAGCTCGTTACTATTCACACCTATAAACTCTAAACTTCATAGACCTCCATTGCTTCTGCTGCGCCTTGGGCCTTCCTGAGGGCGTGAGTTCGAGCTGTGTCTCCCTGCTCCTAACCATTAATTTTATTTATTTTATGTTTTAATTTTAATTTTTTTTTAATTTTCCTTTTTTTTCCTACCACAACGCCAAACCATCATCTTCATGTTCTACAAAATGTATCTTCGGCGAAAATTCCTCTTATAATCCATGTCAAAAAGTTCATAAATAAGGATATAAATCTAAATCTAAATCCAAGGGTATTTAAATCTAAATAAAGTAATGTAGGAAGAAAAAAAAACTTCAATGGAAAAAGAAAAAAGGAGAAAAAAAAATAGAAAATGATATAATCAGTACTTTGCTACCGATTCTCTTCAAAAAGGGTCGCTGAAAGGTTTGCCATTGTCCCTCAGAAAAGTCGCTAGAATCGTACCGATCCCTTCCTTTTGGATTTTTTTTTCTTTTTCAATTTTTTTTGTTGTTGTTAATTTTTCTTTTCTCTTACCATAACAACAAACTGTCATATTTATGTTGTTCAAATTTTATTTTTTCTTGCAAAATTTATTTTAATTCATATTTAAACACTTGAAATCAATGATTTTAATGTCACATCCCGGACTCGATTCCACCATAGCATGATATTGTCCATTTTAGGTCTCGACCACACCCTTACGATTTTGTTTCTAGGAACTCACACGAGAACTTCCCAATAGGTCACCAATCCTGGGAATGCTTTCGCCCAAACTCGCTTAACTTCGAAGTTTCGATGGAACCCGAAGCCAGTGAGCTCCCAAAAGGTCTCGTGCTAGGTAGAGATGAGAATATATATATAAGGCTTACATGATCCACTCCCCTAGATGATGTGGGATGTTACAATCCACCCCCCTTAGGGGCTCGACATCCTCGTCTGCACACTTCTGGCTAAGGATTGGCTCTGATACAAAATTGTCATATCCCCACCCGGGCCCCCACCACATCCTGGGCTCGACTCTACCGTAGTACGATATTGTCCGCTTTGAGCCCTGACCACGCCCTCACAATTTTGTTTCTAGGAACTCACACGAGAACTTCCCAGTGGGTCACCCATCTTGGGAATGCTCTCGCCTGAACTCGCTTACTTTCAGAGTTCCGATGGAACCCGAAGCTAGTGAGCTCCCAAAAGGCCTCGTGCTAGGTAGAGATAGGAATATACATATAAGGCTTACAGGATCCACTCCCCTAGACGATGTGGATGTTACAATCCATCCCCCTTAGGGGCCCGACGTCCTCATCGGTACACTTCCAGCCAAGGATTGGCTTTGATACCAAATTTTCACATTCCGGCCCGGGCCCCCACCACATCCCAACTCGACTCCATCATAGCACAATATTGTCCACTTTGGGCCCCGACCACGTCCTCACGGTTTTATTTCTGGGAACTCACAAGAACTTCCCAATGGGTCACCTATCTTGGGAATGCTTTTGCCTGAACTCGCTTAACTTCGAAGTTCCGATGGAACTCGAAGCCAGTGAGCTCCCAAAAGGCATCGTGCTAGGTAGAGATGGGAATTTACGTATAAGGCTTACATGATCCACTCCCCTAGGCAATGTGGGATGTTATATTTAAAAACCTAAATTTAAAGACGTTTTTTTTTTATTTTTCAACTTTAAAAATCTAAAAATAGTTTCGGGACCTAATAACTAATAGGATCACATCAAAAAATCTTGCAATATTTTCCTTGACTACGACGCAAAATATTTCCTAAAGCCCAAAATTTCAATTTTTTCACAAAAATGTGAGTTATAAGCCACAGTTTTCCAATCGATTTTGAGTACTTTTACAACTTCCGTTATAAATCAAAGTTAAAGTCATTATACTCGCACCACATGTTTCCTAAAATTAATTTAGGACAATCTCAAGATTTCGGACACCAACAATTTTCTTTGGGGCTTGGCTATTAGTTTTCATTATTTTTTCAAAAACTTTAAAAATCAAGGAAAAATAGTTTTTGGACAAAATAAAGGATAAAATCACATGCAAAGGTCTTGCAACATTTTCGTTAAATCTCACCCTAAATATTTCCTAAAACTAAAAATTTCAAGTTTTTTTTACAAACATTGTTATTTATAACCCACGTTTTCCAATCGATTTTGAGAACTTTTACAAGATTCATTATAAGCCAAAATTTGTGTCATTCTAATCACACCACATGTTTTCTTAAATTAATTTACGACATTCCAAAGATTTTTGACACCTACAATTCCATTTGGGAGCCTCACTATTAGTTTATATTATTTTTCTATTTTGCAACTTTAAAAATCTTCGGAACCTAATAAACGGCAAGATCATGTCTAAGGGTCTTGCAATATTTTCCTTAACTCCGACACAAAATATTTCCTAAAGTTAAAAACCCACGGTTTTCCAATCGATTTTGAGAAATTTTACAATATTCGTTATAAGTAAAAGTTAAAGCCCATCTACTTACACCACATGTGTTCCTAAAATTAATTTAGGACATTTACAAGATTTCAGACACCTACAATTCTCTTTGGGGCCCCGTTATTAGTTTTCGTTATTTTATTCTACTTTTCAACTTTAAAAATCAATGTAAAATAGTTTCGGGACCTAATAAAGGTTACAATCATATTCAAATGTCTTACAACATTTTTGTTAATTCCCACGAATTTTTTTTTCTAAAACTAAAAATTTCAATTTTTTCACAAAAAACTATGAGATATATAACCCATGTTTTCCAATCGATTTTGAGAACTTTTACAATATTCATTATAAGCCAAAATTTGAGTCATTCTAGTCACACCACATGTTTTCTAAAATTAATTTACCACATTCCAAAGATTTTCGACACTTACAAATCTATTTGGGGACCTCGCTATTAGTTTATATTATTTTTTTTAATTTTTTTTTTCAACTTTAAAAATTAATAAAAAATAATTCCGACACTTTATAAATGGTAGGATCACATCCAAAACTCTTGTGATAATTTCGTTAACTTGTAAGCAAAATATTACCTAAAACTAAAGATTTCAATTATTTTCACAACTGTGAGTTTTTTTTTTTTTTTTTTTTAAGTAAAGCAATATTTTTACACTAAGGGGAGGAGGAGTTTGGCTAAGCCACACAATGAGTGACAACAACTGCGAGTTATAAGTTGCTTTGCCTATGGTATACAAATGAGGGAGACAATACTTAATATACATACGGGGCAAGCAAGGCAGACCCAACTCATTTTTAATTACGTGGCTCGCTCAGCAGAAGCCCATTATCCCACCTGGCCCAACTCATGCAACACGAAAAGAAGCCCATTAATCTCAATGCTGTGGTGTGGTCGGTCTGTATCTTTCTTGTGCAGTTTACCACCTCTTTTGTTTCTCCTCCCTCTCAAATTCTCAATTCTGCGATTCCATTCCAAAGTGACAGCGTTAACAGTGCATTGCAGACGACGGGTCAGGGACCTTCTCTTCGTCTTCTCCGGTATTCCATCTTCTACTCGCACCTTCGTTCAATCTTATTATTATAATTATTATTATTATTATACCTGCTGCTGATTTCTCTTCGTTTTTCAATTGAAACGCCCTAACCTTTTTTCCTCATTAGATTCGTATTTAGAGTGTTCGAAAGACACGCTTCTGTTGTATTCTTCCCTTTTTCTGCCCAACCAGCCCAGCCTAGGGTTTTTTTTTTTTTTAACCAGTTGTTATTACAAATTACCTTTTTCACATCTTTTGGGCATAACCTCTAATTAATATCCCTTTATGATTAAAGATTAAAGATTAAAGATTAGGAATATCATGCTGGATAGGATAGTCTGGTGTAAATTCTAACAATCTTCTGAATTTTTTTAATTTCTTTTGTGCTTAAGCCAATTTTTTTCTTTTTTTTTAAATGTCATTTCATCTGTTATATGTTTGACTGGTTCTCCCTCATTTGTATAGCATAGGCGAAGCCATGGCCGCTGAAGAGGACTCCATTGAACAAGCAGTCGCAGCACGTCAAGAGAGGCTAAGAGCTCTTAAAGCAGCTCAGGAACTGTTAAACACTCCAGATGAGGATTCCGCACAAGTTCACGATAACACTAATGAAAGCAATCCAATTAGTGACGAAACGTGAGTACATCCGATTCATGTTTTGTATGTTAGTATCCCTTACCTATCCTCCATTTCCTTATTAGTCTTATTCAAGTGTTATGTTAATTTTTTCGTCTGAATGCCCTGAAGGTGTTGCGCAACACCTCCTCCTTTCAAATTCACAAGTTTGTGGGTTGATATATGTGAACAATATTTAGTTATTTGCCCACAATTTTTGCAATCCGTAATTGCTCAGTATTTATTCACACGTGTCATTAGAGATGATACTAAACGGTTTTGTTTGCATTTAATATTTCATGTTTCTCAACAAGCACAAGGTATGCATGTGATTTATGGTTTTTTGGGGGATAACATAACTATGGATTGTGTAGTTTCATCATGAGCACAAGATCTTTAGGGTAAGGACAAGAGTAAATCTGAAATAATCCCCAAAATGGGCAGCGGTATTAATTTTTGGAAGTAGATATTGTCATACCATACACATATGAGACTTCTGCTTCCATTTTTTTTCATAATCTATTATCTTCACTTCTAGTAGCATATGAATTAATTTCATGGTTGTATTTGTTTATCGTTGTGAGATATTTGATTTATATTAGAAGGCCCATGTCAGGATGCTTTTCACTATTATTATTATTATTATTGTTATTTTTTATGATACATAGGTATTGTTCTGTTCTCATGGTCTTCAAGTTTATAGGATCCAGAAAAAAAATTTGATGCTTTAACTTTAAACTGTAAATTGTGCAGTAATACCAACATGAAATTCCGAAATTATGTTCCTCATGATAAGCAGCTTCAGGAGGGAAAGCTTGTTCCACCAGTGCTGCCAAAGTTTGAAGACCCTGTTGCAGGAGTACCACCTCCATCAGAGAAGAAAGAGGTACTTGGTTACTTCTAAATTTTGAGACCCAGAATTCAGTTAATCACTAGCTTCTGTGCTTTTCAAAAGGATTGTTCCTTATGTCACCTTGTGCTTATTCTGGATCAACGTTCAGGACCCGTTTGTGAATATTGCTCCTAAAAAACCAAACTGGGAACTTCGCAGGGATGTGCAGAAGAGGCTTGATAAGCTTGAAAAGCGAACCCAAAAGGCAATGCTTAAACTTATGGGTATGGTGTTGCCATTTTCTAATTAACCATTACCCTTTAAAGCTACATTTAACAGAATGGAAATCATGAAAAATCTTTTCTTAAATTGATTGGTTAGAAGGCATGCCATAAGTTTCAAAAACCATTACCATATTGTTTTTTCAGAAATAAGGCAGTTGATCTCTTCCTAACTTGTACTGTTACTTTCCTGGCCATTATTACTTTTAACGGTTCATGCTTCACCTACTGGGAAATTATGGAAAATTATATCCATCTCACATTGTGTCCAATTGGATATTCGGTCGCATTGTCTGGAAGTAAACAGTTTCGGAACCATAATTGGAGCCTCAATTTGGCCCTCTGCATTTAAAAGATCAAGTGTTTTCCTTGATGTGCGTGCCTTACAATGTAAGAGACTAACATTGAATTGGTTAGGAAATGGTTTGAAGGTTTCAAGGAACTGCATCACTTTACACTTTTAACTAATCTATCACCTGTGACAATGAGAATCAAATGCTTATTCCGTTGGCTGTACCTAAGAGTCCTAGGTCTAGTCATATTGAACTCACTGGTTTTCTCTTTCTGTTGGAATTTTTTTTTTTTAGAGGAACAGGAGAAGCAAAAGCAATTGGATGGAGATGGCAGAAATGGTGAAGACTAGAATTGATTTTTCCTAACCTTGGCAACGGAAAAACAAAAGGGGAAAAAGGAAAGAAAATCACACAAGCTCTTCGAATTAAACTTGAGAAGATTGTTCTCGCTCACTTTTAAACATGTTGAATAGAGTTGACTTACACCTGTATGCAAGTAGCGACTTGGAAGTGAGCTTCTTTTAGTTTTACTATTGATGATAAACTCTCTGCTGTGCTTTTGTCGAAACTGAATGTATTCTTGTATTTTCGCCGGACAACAAAAAAGTGTCAATAGACTCGATACAAACATCCACAGCCAACTTGAGCTATCAACACCTTTATACAGAATGGCCTGCCGCAGTTCCACGTTTGAAATTCCGACCTCTTGGAGCCACAATGTGTGATGTGCTTGATTATCCTTGTTCTGTTGATGAAAAGATTACAGGAGAAATCTTGGTTACAGCCACCACCTCCACCTAGAGGAGAAATTATAGAGCAGCACGTGGACAGTTGTGGATTGAAACCCAAGATCCTCTCGGATTCCATGTCCAACGTGACATCCAACTTCCAGCCAGCAAAACGAGGCTGTAAACACAAATTTTTGGAATGCTTTTGTATGAAATGAAAGCGATGGACAATCATATTCGTACTGGATTAACTTTGATGGGCAAACACCCCGTTTTTGTTAATTTGCAAACAAACCATTCAGCTCTTTCCCTGAAGCAGTCAATTAACAACTTACACACAACAGAGGGGAGACTTGTACAAAGCTCTATCAACAGTAAATTACGCACGGGGGAAGGAACAAAAGAAATTTACAAGGGAAAATGGATGCACAGCGATCGAAGAATAATCCATCCGGTTTCGAATGGCCATCCACGCTTTTGGACTTGTACTCTGTAATGCACAAAAGTATTCTCGTATATGGCTTATATTCTGTCATTAGAGCTGGTTGGAACCCTTATTCATGTGCTCCATGTTCCAAGAGTGGTCTACTGGAGGAAGTTGGAATTCATCCGGTTTCAAGGCCAAAGCAAAATCGGGCAATGTTGGCGCTGTCTCCATGATTCTGTAGTTGAAGTATCCAAAACCATACATTAATTATTGCCAAGGGTTTGTTCTATGTATCATCAACCAAGAACATTGAGATTGCAATTAGGGGTGCCAAGAGTGAAAAGGAATTGCATTTACGCATAAAAAAAAAATACTATTAGTAATAGTTCTCGCAGGCGGGACATACTTTTCGTGTGAGTACAGATCACGGTTTATCCGCACTTTGCTTGAAGTATCTTTAGGAATTTTCTCAGATAGATACTTCATGGTTCCCCAGAGCGGTGGATTTCTGCATAATGTGTATTAAATAAGCAATTGCTAATTAAAAGAACAATTGAAAAGTACTAGAAAACTGATCAGATAATGAACATTTCAACCTTGAAACAACCAATGCTACATACGAGACACGCACACAATTTTCAAGAAGGGCCTGTAGATTAATCTTTGCTGATATCTAGAGATTGGACTCCATATTAATGACTCTAGAGTAGATAATTTAGGAGACAGTCTTCTTAGGAAGAGTTCTCGTAAAAACTGAACTCCATTTTAATGGCCTAAAGTTGTAAATCTCATACTTATGACGATTTTAGGTTTGTCCTTGTACAAGTTTGAGTTTGACGCTAATGGAGATAGGGAGAGAGGATAAACATATTGCGGCTACAGCACATACTTTATTGCCCCTAGAAAAACAGCAGATAATCTGCTAGATGGCATCCATTGAAATCAGTAAAATGAATGAGCAAATAGAGCCTCTCCCTACCTCGACAAAGGGGGAGCAGCGTTAAATGCGTCGCATGCCTTCCTACTTTCTTTAAAATACTCATCTGCTGCTTGCAAGGCAGCTACAGCCATCCCATGAAATTTTTCAGTGTTACCCTCATCAAGGATCAAACCATGATAGTAATATGCAGCAGCCTGGTTACAATGGGAAGGTTAAAATTGGAAGAACCTTGGTCAGCTGTTAAGAGCACAAACTTCAATCGTAATGAAAACAAATATTCTACATTAGCGGCATAAGCCCCCTCTCTATCAGCGAGATCAACTCGAAAGAATGAAATACAATATTCTTCATGAATAGTTCAAGATACTTTCGTTTGGCAGTTACTCATTCAGAAAAGGAAATAGCTATCAAAATCTGCATGCACACAATCTAGTACAAGGGAAGACAAACCAAATGAGCAAGTAATCCCCAAAGTAGAAAATACATATGACCAACCTGATATCTTTTTTAGAAAACTACAAGTGTGCTTTGCTTTCTAGAGGAATCACTACAAAGTCCATTATTTTTCCTTCAGAAGGATAAATCATGCTTTTGGTTTCCATATTACTCTCATAAATACTATGGCGTTGAGGAAGGAACTCATTAGTTTAAATATGATATCTTTGGGAGAGAGGGGGAGGGGCGTTGAGGAAGGAACTCATAAGTTTAAATAAGGATAGTAGTAAGAGCATAAAAAAGGACACGCAGAAAGTGCAAGATACCTTTGCCTCAACATATTTCCACTTCACAAAGAGCCGATGCTTTTCACCCCAACCATTTAATAAGGGAAGGTTCATAAGGTTATCTTGAGCCTGCAAATAAATGGCAGAATGAAAGCAATATTCTTCAGGAATCAGGATCACCATGTGATTCAACAAACATATAATGTGCTCGGATGACGAGTGTAATCATGAGAAACATAGTGAACCATAAGAATTAACAACCTATATATGACATGTAACTGATATGAAATATAAAGGAACTTCTCACAACTACTCCGAATAGAGAACAGCCAAAATTACCCAATGTTGGGAAATGCAAAAGGAAAACCTAAGAATGTAGCAAAAAATTGGATTCATAATAAAAAGAATACTGATAAAAAATATGATTTTAGACGAGACTGGAGGTTGGTTCCTGATGTTTGGAGTATTCAGAGGGTGCATCTTTGTTATCATTTTTAGTTTTTTCACCTTACCATGGATGGAATCCATCATGTACTCACAATGCGGTTTTAGGATCATTATAATGGTCTGTTAATCTAGAATATCTAAATTCAGACCCTAAATTGATGCTATTCGGGCTGACTAATGTTTCCTCTTTCCAACTCAATTCACAATGGTCCAAATTCAAATTGCACATTTTGAATATAGGTACTACAGCCAAAGGAGATGAACAGAAATCGGGACACAATGGAAGCATGGAAAATTTATTACACAAATCCCAGACATTAAATGATATTACTAATTGACAAGATCAAACCGGCAATGATGATAAATTCTTACCTGTTGCCAATACTTTACCATTTCACATGCAAGCCGTCGCTTCACTGCAAGTGTGGCTTTTGTGCTATCAATTGCCATTCCAAGTTGAATATCAACACCCTACATGAGATGGTGGAAGTGATAAAAAGGGTCAGCAAAAGATAATTTTCAAAAGACAAAGGTTCCAGCTTAATTTCATTTTCAGGATAAGTTGGACCATTATGAGATGTCAAAAAAGAAAGAAAAAAGATGAATGAAAATCAAACTTATTGCACTTGTACCCTTTGTGCCCATTAAGCAGGATAGGTTCACAAGGGCTGACTGCAATATTTATGTTTTATAAATAAGATGGCGTTTCAGAAGCATGAAGCCTGAAATATAAAATGCAACATTTACCAGATCAGACCATTTAAGTAAAGGTACTACCTGTCCTAATGCTTGTAGGCAAAGAGCTCGAAGAACTCCTTCTGCTAAGTCAACTGGCAGGTTTGTCCTGCAATCAAGCAATAGTCAAAAGATTATAAATAACAGCATTAGGAACATGATAACAAGCAGAAAGTTAAAATCAGTGCAATTTTTAAACTGATACAAACTTGAGCTCAGTAGGCAACTGTGGAAGAACATGTCGGACTGCACAATCAAGGTATCCTGCTGCCTTCAGGAAAATATCAATGGAAGCTCGTCTACTCTCTGTAGCAACAAGTAAACAATGGAACCTTCACAGTATGATCAATGAAAAAGAAAGAGCCATGCAAGGCACAACCAAATGAAAAACTTGGCAATATACAAACCTAAAGGTAGACCAACGACAACTACTGCATGCACAGGTTTTGTTAATTTCCTTTAGAAGTCTTACGAAAACAATATTTCTGATTATGCAATATAAACAGGTGAAACAAAGAACTTAGTACGAAGTATCAAACACAAGAATCTCGATTTAAGTATATGGATCATGAAATCCATTTTTCACTCGCCTTAGTGAATTCTTTACATATCAGCATCCTGCTTTTAAGGGTTTAATGACATAATCTAATGAATTTGTCCATATCTCCGGTTTTCCAATGTCTACTATTTTTCATATAGTTCCTAGTCAACCATACAAGGTTTCACCCAAAACTTACTGCATCTGGTTCTTAAATTCAGGCGACAGTTTCGTGCTATAGCACTAAGTTCTCTTCGAAACTCTAAAGAGAGGACTTCATCACCATTAAAGGTGTACTCATTCCAGAAAGCATTGGCAACACAACTTTTCTCTTTAACTCGACAAGCAAAGTAGGATAATAATTGAGTTGATAAAATTCAAAAGAAAACATGATTTAATTGTCTATAGCTCAGTTTTCATGTGATAATGCCTACCTTCTGTTACTTTTGGCTGATAACCATCAGCAGATGTTCTTGGAAGAAGTAACAAGTTAGCTTGTGATAATGATAGCATTGCCATTAAGTGCAAAATCGACAGCACCTCGTACCATGCATTAGACATAGCTGTTTCCTGAAAATCATTCATTCAAATTAAGCCAGGTTCCCTTTACAATATCATGGAATCTGAACACCATTTGAGGAATGACAAAATGGGGAAAGCAAAAACTATAATATGCCCAACAAAGAAATATGAGTTTTAAGAGCGCTCCTACATGCCCACCTCTGCATCATCCTCTTGATTTACCCACAAAAATTGAACCTTGTGGTGTAGCTGGCTTCCTTCACAATAGAAATAAGAAACACCTTTAGGGTTTACTAAAACTTGTGGATACAATTAATGAGATGGCATGAGATCATGATTTACCATCTTTCATTAATCCCAAAAGGACAGGCAAGTAATCATTGAGAGCCTGCTGAAGATCGGCCAATGTTGAACCACCTGAGGACAAGAATCATTCAGATAAAGAAATATATGATTTCAGTTATCATTTGGAAAAATCAACAAGCTTGTGTCTATGACAAACCATGTTGAGTAGCAGCTCTTCTCTTCGTTCTGGTAATTGTCGGACCTTCTTGGGCAGCCATCACAACTATGCGAGTCCTT